GTATGGAAATACCAACCACAATAGTATTGAGATCATATTTTCAGCTGATTTATTATAAAAATGATCATTATAACTAGCTTAAGCAACAGAAAATAGTGCTAAGACTTGAAGAAACAGAAGAATAAAGGGTGAAAGCAAAATGTCTCCTTAAAATTGATGTCAGAATGTCGAAAGATAGGAAAATGACTCATGATCCTCTAGAGAGATCCAAATAACGCTCGTCTGCATGGATTAGAATTATGCCGCATTTTTTCATCCATTTCAAAAAAAGAACAAGTCTTCTATTAGTGTGTAGTGGATTTTTCTATCCTACCAACAAAACCAAAAGATCTTCCTCTTCATTCGTATCATGCTCTGCCAGCTGAAAAATTCTGTTTTTTGTGGGTTGGTTTACTACGGGTTTCCTGAATCTAACAAAAAATAAGATATTTGACGGAGCAAACGACACAAATTCTCTTCTACAAAGTTTATTATGAGTCATACTAGAGTGTAATATCAATCTTATCAATCTTATACTTTTGTAAAAAATTGGTCGGAGCAATTGAACTCAAAAATCTGAATAAATCTCGGTCATATGTTTTAATAGGTTAAAGGCCTGCAAAGTCTCTAGATTCCGAAATCAGGGAACTCGCAAGCTTTATAGATAAACTGTGACTGTACTCCAAATAACTTTAAAAAAAATAACTCATTAAAAAAATCGAACTTTCACGTGTTCATTAGCTGTATTTCTTTAAAGTTCCAATTTTTGACATAATGGTATGTATCGGGCACCCATTCCAACTATCATTTAAATTGTCCTGTGGAATTCTAACATTGTTAGTTTATTTTATATATTATATCAAACTGTTTTTATCATTTGTTTCATAAATTGTGGGAATACTGCGAAGGTATTGTTTTAGTTTCGTCTAGTAAGGATAGTATTACTTTCTGATGTGCAAAACTGACTGATGCGAATATTCATTATTTATACTTTATATTTTATAATTATCGTAGTTGTTATCAGCAAATATTTCTGATCAGTTATTAATTTTCAGACTTCAATATGATCTCTTTAAATTTTTTCAAATCTGACTTAGGTTTTTTCAAATGTTGATTTTCAAAATTGTTGTTATTTTTGTTTCGATTATTTTATTTACATCATTTTATAAGCGCTGGAGCAACAAGAAAGAACGGCAGCACATAAAATACACGTGGCAATATAACAAAGTAACAAAGTTTCTGCTTTGATTTTTTTTTTATAACAAAGTTTCTGCTTTGATTTGTCTTAATTCGAAATGTGTCTCGTAGGGAAAAAAAATTGTTGGAAAATCACTCATTATAATATTGTTCGGGATACGTTTTACTTTATCATTGATGATAGTAATTCAGCTATTCAGCATGGAAAAATTTCTCTTCTGTTCCTCCTCTTAGTCGTTCATAATTCTGTTGAATGATTAACAACAGCTTGTTTCTGTTAGCTAAATGTAATCCCTCTTCGTTTAATAATTTTGTATTGAATCAATCATTTAAAGCTTGTTTGAAAATAAAGATGAAACATTATGTACTTCTAGCTAATCTTTATTCATCAGTCTTTAGTTGTCAGAATAAGAAGAACAAAATTGATTATTGGATTGTTACTCGTGAATTGTTGATTTACAAAATAGAATACAAAATTTTTAGAACACTACTCGAAAATACGTCAAGAATTGGCCAAAAATATTGGAAAGTAAGTAAACATACTTGAAAGTAAATCAAATATTTAACTGTGCTCTTTTGATAGCTTGTACGATTAAAAATGAAGCACTTAGTAGAAAAAAATGAGACACTTGAACCGTTCGGCTCATTTGCATATCAAATCGATTCAATATAGTTTTTTTTTGTGGTAAGTAACAATATTTTTGTTATCGAAGTCACAATCAAATCTTATTCCTTCGACAAACCATGATACAGAAAAAAATTGTTCACAACAAGAAATGCTTTCGTACCGTCCGATTCGTGGAAGCAAACGGAATTCATGATAGCAAAAGTCTCTTAGTGTTTTATTTTTGTATAAAGAAAACAAAAGCTTTTTCCCATGTTTTTTCGGAGAATTTTGACCGTACATTTTTTTTGAGCCAAAATTTGTAAGGCTTTAGCGTTTCATTTGAAAAGATGGCTTGGATACACAGCTTTCCTCCATCTTACTGTGTGGAGGATAAGATAAACTTCAAGTCTTTTCATCACTCTCCCCCTCTATTCTTCACGAACTGTGCAGATCTTATTGTTGAGCCGATAAAATAATCTCATTTCACAACCATTTTTAACCACTTCTGTTCCTTCCGCTTGAGGGATTCTTAAGTTTATCGATTCCTTCTCAAAAATGTCTGTCTGACCGTCATGTATTCTCGAGTAAGTTATGCACTTTAATGGTCTAGCAAACCAGTATCCTTTACTCTCAGTTACTTTGTTTTGAAGTGTTCAATAGAAAAATAAGGCGAACTTCTCTTATATACAAAAAAATAGTACTGGGAGCAATACAGATGCCAATTATCATTAGCTAACTCTTGGAAAAGCAAAGTATCGTTGTAGTGTCAATCCACATTGTACGATGTCAAAGGTCATTATGTGTATCATTCAGTTCATGTTCACATGCACATCATATATACACACATAGCAATTGTGCAGCACGTTATTGTGAAGTGTTTAAATTTAGTTATTATTATTATTATTATCAGCTTATCATCATCGTTATGTTACCATTGCTACGTAGTGCTAGCTTTCTTTTTTTTATTACTGATTAGTGTTTTATTATACATATGGTTGCACATAGCGGCTACTTGGCGGAGGGACGATTGAAAATGCACGCTGGTGACAAAACAAAACCTCATCAAATGGATGGCACTTATCCGGATATGAATTATATTTTCTTCAAGGGCATACCGAAAATGATACAGGTATGCACTTTTCCAAATCACTTTTATAAAAATCTCTTTCAATTTCCCAATAGTTTTTCTATTTAAGAAATTAAGTGTATTTGAAAGATCGATAGTTATAGATACAAAAATAAATTAATCTGCTAACTTTCACATTGTTGAAAACTTCGCTTCGGATGTTCTAGAATGATGTTAGAAGGGAAGTAAAAAGCTAAGAGATATTTGAAAATCTATAAAGTTTCCAATGATCTTTGAACATTTAGTCCTTTCATTGGTAAATTTAGCAAGAAATTTTCGTAAAAAATAATCAATTTGAGCTACATTACACCACTGCTTGAAGTGTGGGTTAAAAATTTATGTGAAACCAGCAGATATGCTTTGAATCAGCTCAAAGCGATTACCTATGAAATGATCAACCCGACACATGAAGAGAATTTCAATTTAATTTTAAGGTAGCAGATGATATGCACCGAATGACTGATTATATAATGGATTTACGTAACATGACCATTGGATTCGTATGTTTCTTATTTATGGGAGCACTGATATTTCTCTTTTTGCGACATATACAAAAACAAAGTGGTGCTGATATGCGCGAAAGAAAGATTATAGCTGACCATCCTGAGGTCATTTATAGGCTTTTGATTGTGAAACACATGATGAGTCTGTGTTCATGGCTAAAAAGGCTATCACATTTTAATGTTTTGACACAAGATTACCGTAAAGAGGTGCAGTGCTAGGACTTCATTCAGAAACCAGAATTGCAAATATGAATTGAATATGAATGAGTTCCAGGACCTAGGAAAGTCAGCGCGACCGTACAGTGGTACTTGTAAAAGTTATTCTGAACCGTGGCATGGTCCAGCAGTGAAAACTTCGGCTGTCATTCTCGAAGAGGAACTTTCTGGAAAAACAAAATCCACACTTCCAACAGTGAAAGTAAACGGATGCGTGGCGAACGCCAGATTTGGAAATGATAGAAATCACAGCAATAACTCCCTTTTAAAGGTATATTCATCAAACAAATGACAATGCAAACTTCTGAGATCAGTGGCAAAAAGCCAAACTGGATTAGGAGACTTGAAACCAACTCGAAACCTTCATGCAAAATTAAAGCGGCATTTCCCCCTGCATCACCTTATCCAATCCTTCTGCACATGTTTTTAGTTAAAATGGAAAAATCAAGACTTGTAGAAACAAGGCTGAAACACCGACCAACAAAAGTTACACTCACTCTTGTGTAAATTACGCATCTTGATCCAGAACTCAACTTTCAGGGGTTAAGCATTGAATCCAAATTTTAACGTAATTAAATCAAAAGTAACTCATCCCCCATAATTAAATGGTCTCGAAAAAGCAGTAGGAATAGTTCTCAAACAAAAAAAAGATACAGAAACCAGCGATCCCCCAAATGACACATCGGTTTTCGCGAATTAAAAAAGAACTAAATAAGAAATTTGCAAGGATTTTAGCCAGCTCTGAGTTCCTGAAATGCTGATAACCCAAGCGCCTTTCCAAAATTTCGTCAGATACGTTCTGCTGCCGACCTCCATGTTCTCATTCAGTTTGAAGCTTGATCTTGGATCAATTCCAGCTATAATGCTGAGAGTGACTTTTACAGTGAAGAAAGTAAAACTTCTAATAAAATTCATACTAACAAAACTTTACGCCGATATCCTTGTAACCGAATGCACTTCACAAATCCATAAAATATTGTCAAGATGAACTGTACAATCTAAAAGTTAAAAAAGATTAAGTGCAGAATTCGTCAAAAAGTATATCACAATGAGACGGTAAAACAGTAAACAGCTGAAAAAGGTATACACCATCCATTCACAAAACATGCAATAAATATAACTACAAAGCTCGCACCGAGCACTTAGATGGGCAAAACAATAATGCATAATTTAGAATCCTGGACATAGATACAACGTTTGCAACACAACATTTTCAATATTTCAATATTTTCACTGCAACGTTTGAAACATAACATCTGCGTTAACCTTTCCGCTATCATATTCTCTTTGTTCCCTCAAACTACCAAGTTATATTGAAAATTCCCTATCTATACCCACTCGGACCCCCAAGCAGAGTGACACTGGGGAATCGACAAAAAAAAAGGAAAAAAAGTCGCAAATGCTGCATAAAAATGCCACCACGATTAGTAAGTCGAAGCAGTAAAAACGAGTTGTAAAACTATCAGTTAACTCGCAGAAAGTTTATAGGATGAGCTGCGTTCGTTTATGTTGTTAACCGCATCGGTAAGCACCGCGAACAAATAATTTGAATACAATTTCAAGCTTAAATTTTACAATTATTCCATTTCCTGAGATCCCGATACCAGCAAATCATAGCGACTCCTAATTACATATTTCCTGAAGTCTATAAGAAGTTTCTATGGATATTCTGCTCCATTTCGAAATATTCCACGCATTGACCGTTTGATTTCAATATAGTGGCTCTCATCAGATTGCCAAATGATCTATGACAGGGTACTAATCAATCCAAATAGTCCACCCAACACTTTTCAAACCTCAGAAAGACAGACCTGAACTGAAATTCCGTCCAACTCCAATTCCATACTCATTGTAGGACTCGATATTTTTTATAAAACACATTTTAATTCGCTATTCGAGTGCAAACCCTTGTTTTTCGAACATATGCCGAATTTCAGACCCCTGATACAACCTACTTTATCTGAAAATTTCGTTTATTTACTATACAGAAGTTTCAAGAATATCCCAGAAGTAAACCTAAAAAAGGAAAAATGTTACAAACCCAACCAAAGTCAATCACCTAGTACAGGTAAAACAGTTAACGAAACATGAGACTACGTATAAATATAGAAGAGGAATATTATTTCAAACGTTGACTTGTCTTTTGAGATTTCCGTTTTTTGGGTTATCCTTGCTGTTTGCCCTACTTATCCCTGTAGAAAGGGAAGTTTTCGCAAAGCACTGGGATGTGCATCACAATTCACTGAAATAAGGGGAAAGACATCGCATTTCAAATATACTATCATCAACAGTTAACATTGCCAGTAGCTTATTTAGCATGCACATTGCTAATAAATAAAACCTATAACGACTACTGAGGTACAAAAACCACAGCATACTTTGCTCTTGTCAAATGGCAGTTTCAATAGTGATGAAAATCAAAGAAAAAAAGAGTCTGGAACAGCTGTGGCTTAAGGTACAATAAAACTGAAAGTAATGAAGACACGAGTACAGTAGGATTGTCCTTCTTGAACCGGCGATATATTTCTTGCTGAAAACCCTAAATAAATCCTAACGCTTACGTTTCCACTTGCTTAACGCAGCATACTTTTTGCCGTAGTAGGCCCGGGCTACATCATTCCTTCGTTGCAAAACACGCCGACACTCCTCCCTTTCTTGCTCGTTCATTGGTTGTCGTCTTGGAAATTCCGAATAATATTTATCATATATTTCGAACAGCTGCAGAACATTCGTTATATATTACAAGTATTTGAAACACTTCCAAAGAATACTGCAAAATTATTAGGACTAAGCAGAGAATCACACTAGAGTTACTGTTCATCACATGCTACAACGGCAAAAGTCCTTCGAAAGATTTGACAAGATTAAAGGTCCTTATCAGATGGAAAAGCTGACTTCCTGATCTGCTTTGTCAAGTGCCTGCTCTAACTTCATTCGCAAATACTCCGCAAGCAAGCGATTCCAAATTTTTGTCACCATACTATACCACGGTATCGCTTTTTCAGTAAGCTCCGTTTGTAATTTCTTCAAGGCTGCAGATACGTCATCCTGTATCAGAAAATATTATGATCGAAATCCACAAATACGCCAGAATAACAGAGTCTATAAGATCTAACAGGACAAATTCTAGCCAATGAAGATATTTCTTGATTAAATGAACCATAACGACTAACCTCACTGTCATGTTTCTCACCGGATGCACATTTCCTAACTAACTCTTCTATATCTTCCGGTCCGATAATTTCTTGGATTACTTTGTTGCATTTGTTTGCATCAAACTCTTTATCTGAAAGTTCGAGAGTTTATTAACTGAATTCACTAAATTTGACAAAAGACCTGTCAAACAATTTACATTATTACCAAATCTACTGAGGTAATCAGCTAAAGCATAATTTAGCATTTCCAATGTATCTCCACAACTGGCGGTAGCATTCTCTTCAGATGTTAGACCATTTGGAAGAGAGACTCGAAATGCATCTTCCCTTTCAGCCCCTTCATTTTCTATTATCCAATCATCGCCCTCAAACTGAACCAGTGAAACCGAATCTTTCCCTAAAAATGTGAATCTTTTCAAAAATAAACGAAAAGTGCTGAAAACCCACGTGGTCAACTTTTCAGTTTCTTTCTAGGAGCGTTAGTATTAGTGTTCTTCTTCACATAGGTAAACTGAGGGTCTTAACCCTACATTACAATTTTCCCAAAACATAAAAACAGGTCTTACTAGTTTTTTTATCCAATTTCGGAAGAATGCCATTGCAATGGTCATCTAAGCTACCAATTTTTCCACCGACATATGCATTAATTAGATCAACAAGCAACGATATAATTTTTCCTGGCGACTGTGACGGGGGTCTTTTTTCAAATCTGAAAAAAAAAAAACTTCAGTAATAAACAGCAAGAACGAACGAAATCGAAAATTTTTTTTAAGAAATCTGTCTATATCGACTACCTTGCTATTTTATTCGGCGGTGGTAATGAATCGTTGTTAAGCAGCTTCAGCCTGACATGTGAAGAGATATTTCTACTGGATATGAAAGACCTGGAAGTAAGCAAAACTAATGATATAAAACTATCTGTTGTGTCATTGCAAAGGCAAATTAAGAAAGAACCGAATTTTCTGAAATCCAGAACAGAACGTAATAAAGAAATCGATATCTCAGAATCTAAAAAGCTGAGTATCATTACTTGTTCCGGTGAAGTGATATAGGGATACTCCATTTCGAAAAAGATGGCAGGGAACTGATTTTATGATCATGCAATACGGTCTCACAACGAGTACTTTTCTTCGCTGTCACTATAATATAGTGCATTAAAATCACATTTGCTCACAAACAGTTTGGAAATACTTGACCCACGACAGGTTTAGCACAGTCTAGCCGGCCTTTTATCACCCGCGTTACCAACAACTCAATTTTTCCCATTTCTGTATCCATGTATTTTTCTAGCAATTTAAAAAAGATCGTAATATATTTTCAACGACCTCAGTGAGAATTCATTACTGTCTTGGATCCAAAAACATTTTTACAACTATGCTTCCCTAAATGAAGCAAGATTACCATGACATAATCAGTATTCGAAATTTCAACCCAACTGAAGGAAGCCAACGTGAGCTAAACACTGTTTTCGTAGTTATCGAAAATTAAGATATATGGACACAATTACCTGGACACAATTGAGGTCGCGACTTTGAAATGCCATCATTACTAAAAAGCTGAACAATATTTGACCACCACTGATGCAAGTATTCTTCATCTACAGGGTCAAGATATTCGCGAGTAAAAATCCAGAATTTTTGGGACAAGTTGACTGGTGGCCAAACATCAAAACCTTCATCCAGCCAATTAATTTCACCATTCGTGCATGGGTCTTCCACTATTCTGGATCGAAGAAAAAAACTTGACATCAGTTACTGAGAGCAATAACAAATTTCATTAAATATTAATGGAAGGGAAAATTTTTGGAAAATCCAAATTATTTCTAATCGCGCGGTTGGTGTCAAGCAAATTTCCTCAAAAACTAACGGTTCTCTCTCAATTTCTTTACTGCAACTAGGTAGAGGATCCGAAGTTTTGAGCTCATATACAGGCATCAGCCTGCTAGAGATATCATCGGAAGGATAATCGCCAGTGGTAAGGAAGGTAATCTCTCCGTAAATTTTTTTTTGATGATCTGTCGTATGTACCAACATTTGCTCCAGCTCTATTTGTAATTTATCCTGAAATAATCTATAGCTGTAACCAAAGGAAATGAAATCTTTGGATACTTTTACTGTTGTACAAGCGCTATATTTAGCTATACACTGAGACCGAAGCTTTGCGTCAAGTTTATGCCGACTACAACATCAGTATTTATTAACTTTATAAAGAAAAGACCAAGTCAGAGAAGGCAACAGCAACATTCTGGCAGTCTTCATCACTTGTTACAGCTAGCAGTTTGGGACATTCGTGGAAATAATCAAATTCGGCAAAATCAGGCGCTGGCGCCACCAAATCATTCAGAGATCCACGCCTTGTATGTAATGGAGATAATGCGCCTGCAGAAAAAGAAAAAACATGAATAAGTAAATGGCAGCTGTAGTCAGAATATGGAAAATAAAACAGCCCTTGAATATAACCAGTGAATAAGGAATTAAGCTGATACGAGCTCCCTAAAACCTGTTCACTGCAATTTAATCATAATGATCCTGCACATGATGGACTTAAACAATGGGTAGTTAATAACACATTTTTCCAGAAAACTTCATATACTGGTGATGACGCTGACCTACTCTGAAGCGACGAATATGGTTGAGATACAGAAGAAAGCAAGAGAACCTCGCACGAACGATCATAAATTACTACAAGTGGAGCGCCATATTACCCGTACAGTAACTCCAATGAATGATGAACCGAGACTGAGAATGAAGAATATGAAAGAGCTCACCGTTCATAAGTTGCTTGGATTTGTCATCCGGAAATCGGGAGAGCTTGCACGGTAGTGAAGAACTGGGCGATCTCAACAAATGCGAACTTTCTATTCTCCTATATTTCATGATCTCTCTAGTTCTCCTAAAGCACCCATTGGCTCGGCAGGTGACGTATGAACGTGTGACGCCTGAATACCAAATTCGTCACTCCTCCAACGACAACCACGCCATACCACTAACACTCTGTAGACACCATCGTCACATACCCAACTAAAATCCAAGCTTTGTGTGCGCGAAAAATTTGGCCAAGGGCCAATTCTTGTTGGAACCGTTGTACATGCTGGAACGGAATATCGTGAAGTTCGAAATGTGGAAATTGTAGAAATTGACTCAGGAGGCATTAGCATTTCGTCCTTGGTGGAGGAAGTAACAGCAGGACATATTAAAATGTAAGCAAGACTTGGTACCATTTGATGTAAGTCATAATTTTTTGAAAATAGCAAATCTTGCGTCTTCATGAGATTAATAAATGGATGCTTACAACATATATTTGCTTGATAAGCAAAAACATAACATGCACGTCAAGAGCTAAGCAAATGAAGTATCATAGTGTTTTAGTTTGACAGGCCTGCCGCATTTTCCGGTGTTCACCCACCTAATAAGGGCAAAGAATGGACCGGACAGTTCCATGTTACTTAGGCTACCTATACATTGATTTCTTGTGAAAACTTTTAAAATACAAGTGCAACACGATATGATGACAATTCACGAGTAAAAGATTATGGATACGAGAATATTACGTGGTACTTCCAATGAAATATGTTGCACGGCAATATAGTTATTTTTTGGTTTTACTGAATCGTCTATAATGGTATACTAGCATCAACAAAAAACTTCGATTTAGAGTAGAAAAACCTGTATGCTTACTGGTTTCCGGTGACATTTGACATACAAGCATGAATCAAACAACACGACTCCTATTCCTGTAAAACAGTGTCAGCATGAATACGTTTTGCAGTGGTTTAGATATTATAATCCAAAGAGTTCTATTCTTGCAGTCAGCGTCACTTGTGGTGACATATGTCCAGAAGTGCTTTTTGGAATGGAGAATCCTCGTTTCTCCATGTGAAGTCATTTACTATCTCGCTTTTCTGTTTCCTATTCTTGCTCTGCTTTGAATCACACGTACACACTCACAATGCCTCAGGGTTGCAAAATTAGATGGATTTATTTGTCTTATTACAACCTTCGTGTATCTACTTACACAGTCCTGCGTTTAGAAATTTAGCATGTTCTAAACAACTGCAATTATCCCGCTGTATACCGTATGTCATTTAGTTCCTTCTAGTTACTCGCCTTAATCTGATGATGAGACATCCTTTTTCTGGCATTTTAAAGGATGCTTTAAAAAGTAATGTCCAAAATTTTTTGGCTCTCAGGAATAATGAAATGCGCAGCGGAAACATTTCCGTTTAATATTCAGCGTACTAACCACCATAATGGCTTTACATGTTATCGCGAGCCTTGTCCAGTTTGAAGAAAAAATGTCGAAATGGAATCAAGAAAATGTCAGGGCTTGCCTGCAGCTATTTCCTAATCTGTGACTTGTGAATGGCAGAATATTTTATCCTCCCTAAAAGGTCCCTTCAACTATTTGCTGTTCCTGGGCGGTTATGTCAGTGCAGTTCATAATCTTGTATGTTAGGGCTGAGCGGATCACATCTTCTGTTTTACAATATATATTGATTTTTTTTTACAATATACATTTGATTGCGCGCCACGAAGAGGCTTCAAACTTTGAGTAGCAACGCAACTACAACCTTAGCTTCTGGCTTGCTGTGCAATGTCTCAGGGCTTGTTCTGGGCGTAGGAATCCCACAGTTTTGATGTCAAATACAATTTGTCTATAGAACTAGTTTTGGTATCCCCTTAAACTAAGCTTTAACTGGACTTGAGTTTTTTCCGAATTTAAGCTCCGAATTTTCCAACATTCTCAGAAATCAGGTATACACCGTATTAAAGCATCGTTGTTGTTATATGGCTCCTTCACTTTTGGCCATAACTTAGAGTGAGCACCAAGCCACACGAAACCTGTGAAACACGACCAGAGACCACCATTGATAGTATCGGCCGTGCTTCCTTCGTCTATCCAGTGACGTTCACAACTACTGTGATACTGATATCTTGCTGCCGCGCGACGACGCGACGAAGACAAACGAAGAGGTGGTGTGGCACGACCGACATCAATTGTTCAGGCGTTGTCTGTGAGTGTCTATTTGGTCGGTCGGTGTCGGTATTTGTGTATGTTCATGTATGTCAGTGTATGCTGGGTTCTTACGTTGAATGAAGCGGTGTATGTACTACAGAGGTGGGTGCATTGCGAAGTGAGGTCACGTATGACTAGGGTAGTCGATGGGTCGCGCTAATAATGCATCTCTATGGGTTTTTTCCGCTGAGCTTTTGGTGTGGAGTGACAATTCATGATTGTATTGTTCAGTCCTTTAAATTTGGGAAATCCCAAAAGTTTCCATTTCTAGCTATAAGAGAAAATATCTCATGAGAAGGTAGAACTGACATAATTTTAGTGACGAACGGAACCGGAAGGTGATATTCTTCTGCTAATTTGATTGTGGTAATAAGCTAGCTGCTCTGTTTGGACCTAAATTAAAGCTTTGTTGCGAACGGAATTTATAGGTTGGGGTGCATGTATGTGTATATGTGTGTGTCTGTATATTTCTGTCTGTGTTGTGTATGTGTGTATGTGCGTGTATGCATATGTGTGTGTGTGCGTGTGCGTGTATGTGTGTGCGTGTGTGTATGTGTGACAGAGGGATAAAACGTTGGTTAGAGACTAATTGAAAACCTAGTATGCATACTAACTCTTTACATTACTTGTCAGGCAAGTACTTTTTTTTTGGTTTCAAAAGTGTCGTGCTGGCGTTTGAAATTTGAATATTAACAGTGAGCGCCAAGAGAGCTCGTCCGGACTGTGCACTGCGTGATGCGGACAAGTCCTTTCGAAATTCTTACCATCTTCCGCTACTGAGCCCCGTATCAGCATTTTTTGGAGGGTAAGAATGAGTGAACTTCTCAATAGGAACCCTTTAGGGGCACGTGAAACATGCATCCTAGTTGTGTGGAATTTTTGGTCTATTTTGTTTTAATTATCATGAAATTGAACCTAACTTTAATTTTATTAGTTGAGTAGCGAATTGTCACTTGAACATATAATAACGTATTATAAGGATTTCGTAAATAGCTGGAAGAGTTGATTGTGAGATATGGTTCTTTTCTTAAAGAGAAAAAATATTGGTTGGGATAATGGACTGAGGCGTCCAGTTCTGACCTCAGTCTTAATTCAAAAGTTGCCTGTAGACCAAGTGCTGCAGATCCTAAAACTATGTCTCATATATTTAGACGTGATTTAATCCTAGATATGTGTCAACAGGATAAGTAGATAGGCTGAAGGAGTGTTTAAAAAAGTATATTGTATCGCTAATTGTTACACTGAAGGCTGTGATATAAAATATCGCTGATGGCCAAAATGAAGTATTCTGTCGTTGAGAATAAGTTGCCCAGTGTTCGTTTTTTTTCCCCTTGATGTCTCTGTTTTACTCTTCAGAAATATTGTGGTGGAATTTTCTTCCAGCGTTTTGCACATACCAGTGAATTTGGGTTTAGAAAGGGATTTACTTCGTACAGATCATACCTCATTGTAAAATATCCGTTCCATCCAAATAGTTTTGTAGTCCGCAGTTCGAGGCTGAAAGGTGAGTCTTGCTAAGGAGATTGGTCCGATGGCCGAAAACCTGAAAACTGCGAAAACTCTCTACAGAATTCCCCCTCTTCAATAATTGGTAGGATTACGTAGATTCTTCGTAAAGGAATTAATTTGCTGCCTCCCCCATACCGGAAATTTCCAGTTAATCGCGGTCAGGTTCCTTCTGTTTAAATGCTGTCGAGTGGGTTTTGGTTTGGGTTGACGTGGACCGCCACCGTCAACATATATTGTGATGAGGGGGTATATGTTGCTCTGGGATCGATCGATATGTGGACGCTCTCGCATGCGGCAACTGCCTGAATTCGCACGCGGCAGCTGTAACCCACCGAAACCGAACGGATTGCGAACCTCGACCGGGACCCTCATTAATAATTTTGGTCCTTCAGTTCTGTTGCCATTAAGCCACGTTTTGTATATCTTCATACCTGACTGGACTGACGGTATTTTGCTGTTCTTATGAAATTTCGAATCTGTTGCGTGTAACTTATAGGACTATTGTCTCCAATTGGATTGACGCCGGGACATCCGTTCCGAACCGCCATTCCGTCTTGAAGTCTGTTATTATGCAGTATCTTCTATTATCTTAAGAATCTACTGAGGCAGTTTCCCTACCCTTACGATTTTAATTACTCCTGTCAGCTACGTGGAAATGAACTGAGAAGTAAAGCTGGATTGTGTGTCGCACTTCCATCTTATGCAGGCATGGTATTGAGTGACCACATGCACACGAATATTTCGGATTGGCCTTGACATTCGGCTTTCAGACATGTGAGATATCCTTCGTTCATCCCATTTCCATAATGGGACAATGCCTGTGTAGTACTACTGTGTTATGAAACTAATGCTGGACTTGAGGGGGTTATTTTCTGAAGATGAATCGGATGCGGTACTCACTTTCGGTGTTGGTTATGACCGATTCGTCTAGCAGGTGGACAAAAAGTTCGCTGGAGTTGAAAGGGTTACATTTGTTGTTCTAAGGTTCTTCGTCTGGTGTTTTTTTCCAGTGTATTTCGCTGGATGTTACGTGTCGCGGGATACTGTTTCCCGTTTCTGACTGATGCATTTCAAGTACAGATGTTTGTTTGCAGTTGGTGCTTCGGCGTTCTGTTTTGGTACATGTTACAAAATGATTACTTTGGACGATGAGTCAATGGCTAACAATTGTAAAGTAACTGAGAACGAAGTGCATACGTCAGTTGCTGTTGATATGGATTCTGCTTTACAAGTGATTTTTAAATTTTCAAAATAGTTGGCATTCAGCATTTCCGGTTTATAACTGAAATTTATACTGAGTTCTTGTTTGCCGTCAGTAAATGAGATGAATTTATCAATTGTAGGTTCGTTGTGTAGTAGGCTATCGTCATCATTTAGCTTGCAGTTTTAAGTATACGGGTTGTTTTACCGTGATTTGTTTCTCATAGTCACATAACATCTTTAAGAAGCTCTGATAAGCTCATACATTTTTGTCTTACAGACGTCGCTGAAGAAGGCTCAGAACAATTCGATCTCAGATGATACTTCAAAAAATTATGTGGATAAATCAATAGAAGCGATCAGAAACGGTGTCTGGGTTAGTGAAAAGATCGCAAACAAAGAGCAGCATCGGGATGATAGGAATAATGGAGATTGCACTAGGCCAACTTTCTCCGGTGAAAATGGCTATGTGGATGGCGTTAACAAGGGTGTGTTTCTAGGATCAATCTGAAATATGGCATCTCAGCTATTTTTTTGTAACTTATACTGCCTATTGCATTACAACTCATTTTCTGAAGTTAATTATGCGTTCTTTATTCAAAGCGGATTACAGTGCGATAACACCCAAGATAAACTAGTTAATTTCTTCCTGAGATAATCGGTAGATATTTCGCAGATTTCAATGGGTTGGATACAATGGAAAATGACATTGTAATTGAAAATGAACCTTGCGGAAATAAGGGGAATGGTAAAACATCGATGTTCACTGAAAATGGTGCTGATAAGTCGGCAGCTGTTGAATGTATAGGTAAGCGATGTTGCAATTTTA